TCATTTTTTCATTTTAGTGTTCATTTGTTTTACATTTTTACATTGAACTAGTCTGGTCTGTCATATTATGGTTTTGTCCCCTGTCTTGTACACACAGATTTAGATGTATGTTGAAAACTGTTCACACAGAAAAAGTTCATCACTAGTTTTTATGAGCATTTTCGCTCCATTAATATATATTTCTCGATGGTCAAGACCTGAAAGTAATGCACAGGGCGTTTGCGTTGTTATGTGAAAATTGCTCATTGCTACTGTTGAATGCTACTGTTGAGGATGAGAAGTGAATTGAATGTGAGCCTTTGAAGAGATACTGCATTGACAGTGCCGCTAATTGCGGTGTTAAATACCTTTGGCCGCTCACAGTAAGATGGTGCCGTCGTGTGAGCTCCCATTCGTCCTTGTCTTTTGGACATAATATATTGCATACACCCTGGACACATAAGAGGTCTATTTACTGTATATTGACTTTGTCTGAGCTTATTTTATTCAATTTCTATTGCATTATTATCTATTATTATGTAACCTTAATTTGGTGATTTTATCCCCCCCGTTGAGCTCGTAGAAAAGACATTTCATTGCCAGCAACTACTGCTGCACGCTGTATTGTTGTGCATTGGATAAATACACTTTGATTGATTGATTGGGATTAAATCTCTTCCCTCTTCTTGCTCTGTAGAGCAGGACCTGAATCTGGAGGCAGTGAGGTGTACGTGCTATTGGCAAAAACATTGTTGAGCTATTTATGAAGATAATTTCCCAAAAGCCATTTGAAAAGGAAAGTAAGATGTGTAACTGAGAGGTAAAATACCAGTGGCTAAAATAAAAGCCACAGAATCATCCTTTTCACCTCAGGCTGTTTAACTGTAGGCTTCCGTTTCTCTTTTTACACCTGATGTGTTTCTGATGTCTAAGTGTAATGCTAAAATTGAATGAATCGATTATTTAACTGTAATGTGAAGACGACGAGTGACAGTAATATCTGATGACGCTAACTGAATCGGGAAAAATCAGGGTGAAAGATATGGATGGCTTCTGAACTGTTGGCCGAACACGCTCAGGTCTCCCTCCCAATCCCCACCCCCCCAAAAAAGAAGGGATTTGTTGTGTTGATTAACGGCACTGAAGCATCTCGCAAAACCCGCTGCTCAGCCGGCTAATCCCTCCTGCTCCATCCATTCGTCTACGACCCCCCGCCAGAGAAACCCAGGCAGTCAGCCTCCTGATGGGCCCTGTCGTTGACTAATGAAGAGCCGAATTAGTTCAGGCGTGAGACAAACCAAGCGCCGACACCAATCCCAGAATGCATTAATCCTCAGCCATCCAGATCTGCATGTGTATTAATGGTATAAACCAGCACAGCTCAAGCCGGCGTGCCCTTCCAAACAGAGTGTGACAGCGCAGTGTGTCCTGGCCCTGTCCTCCAAAGCCTTTTACAAGGGGAAAGTTACAAGGGAAGGGTGAACTTGCCTCAGTCGTGCGGATCTCAAGACCCAATCGGCATTAACTTCCTGCTGGTGCAAAAGTGAAAAGGGCCCCCTGTAGAAACTCTGCTGCTGCTTTTCAGGCACCAGCTGGAGACTAGGAGCTCACAGGACATAGTGGATTCCCTCTCCCCAACTGTACTTTTCATTTAAACTAGTTCTATCTTTCTTTGGTTCTACCTTCTTATATTTTTCGCTACTGTTGTGCAACTCTGGAAATGTTAAACAATCTCCCGCACTCTGTGTTGGCCCAGAAGACAGCTAAACTAAAATATCATTAGAGGACTCGCAATAGCGCTTGGTGTGCTAAACAGATAGGGACAGAGCATACTGTACTGTAGCTAATACACACAAAGCAAAGAACTACCTTGACCATATTATGAAAACAAACATACAGTACCACCAGCAGTCATCGATATTGAATTGACTGTGGCATAGCGGTTACTTCAGCAACTCGGTTATTAAGTTACAGCTGGTGACTTATGTACTGACACCTTCCTTCTAGAAGAGAATTCAAACTAATAGCCGGAGGGCCAGGATCAGCCCAGCAAACCTGTGTGTTTATCACAGTCTGAAACATCAGCCGGGATTCAGTTTGTGCCTCGTCTGAGCCTGAATAGCCCTCACACAAAACAAGCTCCCTTAGTGATGTAACTAACGGTCTTATAAACAAGCACTGCTTGTAGTTCTCTACCTTTGTCCAGTCCCAGCGCCCCTGTTTGACGATGTCACAGGTTTCGTTTGACAGAGGTGTGTCTTTGCGCAAAAACGAGGTTGTGGGGGATTTAATACTGCTAGACCTCTGCAACTGAATGACCTCTGGTCTTACTGGAACTGGACCAACTAAGGGTGATAAATGTCGTGTGGTTCAAGAGAGGTGCAGACATTTATCTTTTTTTGTGGGGCGTAAATGTCTTGTATCACATTATTTTCCCAAGAGCAATAGCAATAGTTATAGAAGTGACATCTTTGGTGTTTTTATATTGCTGAAACCTGACTTTTAACTTAACATGACTTTTCCTGTACTTCTAAAGGAGTTTATAGGTGATCCTGATCACTAGTCCCAGAGCCAGTATAACTCAGATTTCAGACCTACAGTTTATCAGCTGATGTACATATATACGCTTCTATAGATTAACAAAGGTAATTTGTTCCTTAAAAAGTGTTTGTAATGCAAAATTTTGCATAAAGAAAATTAGATTCTCACTTTACATATAAAGGCTTACAACTCATGCCAGATATCTAGAATTCACCCAGCATTACTCTTTGTTACCAGAGAGCACTGAATTGTCAAAGTAAGAACACTATTTCATGTGTATTAAACATTACCTTAGTACAGTAATTCAGACAAAATATTTAACAATTGTGTACTTGAACAATAACATAGCACAGCTAAGGTGAAGCACATGTCTTTTGACAGCTTACCCTCCCCTCTATTTGTGTTAAAAATCAATTCCTCCTTGAAACATTGAAACATAAAATACAGTTCTGAAATGTGATTAGGCAGTATCATCAGACTGGTATCTTATGGGCACGCGAGCGTCAGAACTTTTTCTACACTTTTCAGTATTTGTTTGAATGTTGTTTGACGTCTAAGTGAGTGCTAATAACCATTTTAACGGACTGCACCGAAAGACAGTTTTTGTGTGTACTAGTTTACAGCACAAACATTATCTTTAATGAGTCTTGTGCCAACAGTTCCTCAGTGTAATTCTCACATTTTACAAAGCTTGAGTCAGTGCACATGTCATTCACATGCCAATTCACATGCCATTGCGTTAATTAATGCTGTTAACATTAGCTTGAATCTTTGTGATGCTGAGGGACTGAAAGCAAATGAATGACATCGGACGTAAATCTATTTCCGAGTCATTATTTTGAGTTCAACACCTCTATGAAAACACAGTCAATTTTTCTTGAGTTTTAACTCCCGGTAATTACACTCACAGATATGTGTGATTCACATTTCACAGCAGCATCGCCATTCTGTAGCTTGATCTTGTCAAATCTTGTCAAGCTAAGCATTACTGGACCTGGTTAGTAATACAGTGGTAGACCTGTAGGTGGCGGTATCCCCTCTTGATCAGAATTTCTGAGCCAATGGCCCAGTATGGTGACCAGGGACACTGTGCTACAGGAGGCGTCAGCCTTGGTATGAAACGTTCAGCCGCGAATAAATTCCACTCTGGCTTCAACAAGAGTCTTCAGTTCCGTCTTAATTCAACCGGTGGAGCAGCTCTCTCTATTGATCAGCTGTGTAGTAGTGGGGCTTTTGACATGCAGTGTACAGTAAGTGTGATCTTCGAAGTTCTGTATTTGCATATCTGAACAGAAAGACACAAAGTGCCTTTTGATTATGAAAGAGTGAGAGGTGTAACAAAATCTGGTGTAAGTTTTCAAAATTACTTTTACGTGTAGTGGATACGGGTACCTGTGAAGAACTTTGTTACCGTTGATTTGTTACAGGAACGACTTGAATCAGATCGAATTGATTAACTGGAAATCATACTCATGGTTCGACTGTGCTTGTTAGAGAGGTGAGGAACGCTAGTGACTTGGCTCCTTTTTTTAATCATTTATGGTGTTAAAATTGCTAGTTCTTTACTCACATCGTCCTTGGAAGTGATACCAGTTTCGCAGTTTTTTTTTTGTTCGCGGTAGACAGATGTTAATAAAAAGGAACCACATTGACATACTGTCGCAATTACAAATGCTTGTCATCGTAAATGAAGGCCCTGTCTCTCCACATAATGAAATGATCAGCAGTCACAGCAGGCAGAGCTTGGGAGGGGTGTGAAGGAGGCTGTGGCTGAACGGGGGGGGCTGAGATTGGATTGGACTGCGATGGTGTGGCCATGCACTTTTTGCCGCCATTTTGTACTGATTTTTTTTCATTCGCCAGAAGAAGCAGCAGTTGATGAGATGTTTTTGTTTCTGTCTTTTAAGAAAGTATCTGAATAGGAAGCTGTGGCATTTCAATTTGACCTAGAAACAACTGTAGTATGGTTCCCGTAACAGGTGAAACACATCAGTACTGGATTTTCCTTCTTTGAAATCAGTGTTTTGCAGAAGCCTGAGGTGTTTGCTCTCTTCCTACCCAGCATGCCCACAGCCGTGCCTGTTGAGTAACTTTATTATTCCACAGGTGGTGTACACAGCAGCGTGACTGAAATCCCATTCCGAGACACATTTCGGTTTCGACGAGCTGTTACGGCACCTTGATTAAAACCGCTTCTCTCCTCACGCTGTCAGGCTGTCAGTCAACGTCGCACCGCGACGTGCGCCTGTAATCCATTTACTGGAAGCCTCCTGAAGCATCCTTCCACAGAACTCGCTTGGCAACCTTTTGTTCCAGCTCTCTTGTTCAGTGTTGAATTTCCTCACTCCGGCTCCAGCTTCTCCGGTGAGAACTTGGAGCCGGATTTGGGACACCAGCGCGTTGTAATAATGTTAACTCAGCCATCTGAGTCTGTCCGCAGCTGATGGTGGCTCTGAAGGTTTGCTCTCCTCTCTCCACAGGCAGCCAGATGGCTCCTCAGACCCCCGGTAACCTGTCCGACGCTGGCTCTCACTCTACCATGAGCCAGTCTCCCATGTCTCAGGAGAGGGGTAAGTGGATTTCAGCGAGCAGTTCAGCACGTGTCTGTCTCCTGACTGTTGACTTGGGGAGTGTCCCCAGTGCATAAGAGCTCTAATCTTCACTCAGTCCACTGTTTCCACGTGCTTCTGGAAATGGGTGTTGCATAGACTAAGAAATAACAGGGGTAGGGGGTAATATTTTAGTGACTTTATAGCGGCTTAACTTGTCCTTTTTTCATTCCCCATCTGTTTTTACCTTAGGCCAGCTCAAAGTGCCCCTTTTAGCGTGGATTTGTCTGCTCTGTTCTTGAAAGTAAGTAGATTTGAGGTTAGTCAGAGGACGAAGGACTTGGGTGAGACTTCTCCAAAGCTGGTTCTTTTTTGTTTTGTGTGCTTTGGAGCAACTGTATGATTTGGATCACTTTAAAAATGGGGCTGTTTGGGTTAACAGAAAATATACCTGGAGTGCAGTTCACTTAGTTTGTAGCTGTGGAGGTATAGAAACACCGACATCTTGTTAAACTCCATATCAGGAGGATAGCAAATCTGTTGAGTTTCCGTTGAAAGTGCCTAGCCTTTTACACACACTAACCCCTTTCAGTCTTGAACAGAGAAGGCTATGAGGGGATCTGATACAAATATTCCAAAACCTCAGAGATATTGACAAAGTCTACCTCGTGGATTTCTTCCTAATGAACAGTGAATCACGAAACAGAGGGCACAAGTGGACACCACGCCGAAGTGCCTTTCAAACCGAGAGCAGGTGGCACGTCTTTATCCAAAAGCCTTGCGGGTTTATCAAACAAGCTTTCTTCAAGAAATGGCTGGAAGAGAACCTTGAATCCATTAACTATTAACAGGCTAGATTGGCCAGGTGGCCTCCTTTTGTTTGTAAACAGTCTTAAGTTCACATCCGTGTTTCTATTTGGTATTGCGGTATTGTTGCACAGCTCATTAGAGTAGCACTGCATGATTCTGCGCTGTTTCGCCTCCTAAAATGCCATCTGTTGTGTGGGCAGACCATTCAGGTAAAAACAGCTTCTGACCAGACTTCTCAAAGCTGAGTGCAAGTGTGCAGGGGAATCCAATTAGCGTTACTCACGTCCTTAGGGAATGAGTCTTGTGTCTCTGATTCACTTCCACAGCTCTCCTCTCAGTTTTAGCTCGGAGGAGCTTTTTAACATCTATTGTTTTTATAAAGAAATGTTTTAACGCACGGTCGTTCGCCTCTCTTGCCCATTTCCTCTGGCTTGGAGGAGTCTCTCAGGAGCTGTGTCTCACCTGTCGTGGTTAAAGCCACTGGAGATTCCCACAGGGAAGGCGGGATGGCAGAGTAAGAGGGTCGGAAGTGACAAACATTGTTCCTGCAAGATTTAAAAGAGCAACAACGCCCGCGGATTGACTGCACCTCCACCCTGGAAAGCTGTGCTATACTGTGTTGCTTATAATGCAGTGGCAGCCTAGGCCACTGTCCCAAGAGTGGCCTTCAAATGGCTTTTTATGCCATGGAGCAAATCTGGAGTCTCTTCACCTTTTGAACCCTCGTAATATCCTTCCGAGAGCAAACGAGTGGAAGTCACCCCAACAGGTAGCAGGGGTCAAACCACTCAGACCACATGCATGTCCAGAGTCTAGTACTCCAACTGCTGGAAATCCAAGCATGAGCAAATAAACGGACAGATATCACTGGCTGCCAATGCATTATGAAAAGTGACCAATGTCAGAGTAACCTGATACAGCCAATACCAGGTTTTTTTTCTGTTCCACCTGTTTTAATTAGACGGCTGCCACTATTTTATTTTTATTTTTTTTCTGTTGGATATTTGCTTCATGTTATGATTCCCTTTGATTCGAGTAAGCACACAGACCAATAGCAGCCGAGCGATCTAATAGTCGTCGTGTATTCCTACCCTTTGCCCTTTGTCTCTGTGGCGGGTTGTTCTCTTAGCGTAATGAAGAAGGACAGGAACTTCACCGCAACATTTGAGCTGAGCAGAAGAAGAGATCGGTTTTATTTGGATTTCAGCTCATTTTTTCTAGTCAAGAATGAATGTGGTTTTCCGTGATATCAAATCTATCATTTAAAAGGAAATGATGAGAAGTATACGATCAGAAGAGGTTTGCTGATTTTAATAAATTCCGCTCAGTGCTCTTTGTTGTTCAGTTAAGACTACAACCCCCTGCCAGAGAGAGAGAGTGCCTGCATGCATTATTTGCTTTTAGCACAGTCTGCACAACGTTCTTTTTCCACATCCATTTTCCAGGCGGTTTAAACATGTGGAACTGTGCTGTCTTTTAAGACTCCTTTCTCCTAATGGAAGTGAAGTATTTCCATAATGTCCCTTATACCCAGGCCCGAAATCCAAGCACTTTACAGTCACTTTTTATCATCATACAGTATCATCATTCCTTATTCAGTGCAAAATGCAGCACATGGTCAGCAGTCTTTCTGAAAAAAATGCTTGTTAAGCCTGGGTTTCAGGGTTACAGAAGCGCTAAAGAAAAGTAGTTTCAGCATCTCTGGTTGCATGCTTGAGAAGAGATCTATTTAACATAAGCAGTAATATTACAGCACCTCACTCACAATCTGTGGGGCGTAAATAGGCCCTTCGCAATTTATACAGATTGTACACCTCATACGATACAGGGGGATTCGCTGCAGCTTTGAAACATAAAGTATGTTTAGTATAACTAAAGCTTACTGTATATTTTATAAGGCACGTTTAGAAATGTTGATGTTATGAATGAGTGATCAGTAAAAGTGATGTTTCATATTGTGCTTAGCCAGACATTCAACCGGATTTCTTTCTTTAATGTTGAGAGGAACTTCTTAAATATTCCTTGTAAGTAAGTGAATACTTAGAATGACAGTAAATCAGATAATGATTTGTATCCATACATAATGCAGTATACCTCAAGATCCTTTAGAATCTTTAGCCGTGCCTCCATTTTTATTTTTTATGTATTTTTTTGAGGGAGTCAAATCACCGGAAAAAAATAACACATAGAAGCCATCTCCTTAGAGGGGAAAGCCGCCAGGTCACAGTTACTTATGGAAACTGTTATTGTGATCTTTTGCATTTTTATCAACCTGGTCCTAATACATCTATGAAGGTGATGGGGTGGGAAAAAACGATATTTTTCTCTTCATTAAATGTAATTAACCCTCCTACTCTTAACGTGCATTTCACTTCAAAGCACTCCTTGTATGTAATCGTATCCTCTCTGCGCCATTTGTGCCTCAGATTGAACTGCTCTACAGTGACAACTACTGTTCCGGGAAGGACGGTAGAGATTTATATCTGCGAGTAACAGAAGACGCAGAATAAAACAAAGTGTAAAGGGCGAACTTCTGCTGCAGCTCCGGATCTACCTGGGATTAACAGGACAGCGGACAGGGGCACAGACAGTTCCAATCAGGATAGCTGATCTTCTCTCGCGCGTAGGAGCACGCTTGACTTAGCTCCCCCGTTCTGTGCAGAACCCTTGCCTTTCTCTGGGATTGATCCTGTGCGCGCAAAGCCGTGCTCCAGTGACAACGCGCCGTGCCCTTGGCGGAGGCGAAGGGATCTTCTCGTTTTGACTCTGGGCTCGATCTGTGTTGTAGGTTTTATGGGTGGCATGCAGCGCAACCCCCCCGTGCCCCCCTATGGACCACAAGGGTCTGGGCCGCCCATGTCCCCGCACCCTTCTCCCGGAGCACAGATGCATCATGGGTTGGGCTCGTACCAGCAGGGAAGCTCCAGCAACACATACGGACCCCAGAGCGGCCAATACGGACCTCAAGGTGAGACAGTCGCCAAGGGCCGAAACCGCGCATGTCTGCAGGAGGCGTTCTTATTTTTCTTTGTACTGTGCGTGACAGTAGGTGATTGACCCCCAGACGTCACTGTCCTGTAGGGGACTGTCGGGGAGGAGATGGAGATTGGACTGAATCGGCGGTCTCATCTATGAGTCAAAGGCTTGGTCTTCCATTTCCTCGGTTCTCTGTGTTGCTGAAAGGGAAGACTTTTGCTGTTTCTTTCATTCCTGCAGTGCATGTTCAGCCATAAATCCATCGGTCCCCCCCCCCCCCAACACTTGCCAGCAACTACAGTACTGCGTGTGCCTTCCGTGATATTCTAGCAAAAATAAATGAGATCTTATTCCGAATACAAAATCATATTGGGCAGTTTTTCAATTTATGTGTCTGGTGACCGAGGGCTGAGTTAAAAACCTTAAGGTATCAATTAGCATATTACAATGTTCAGCTGTTTACTTAGTGAGTAATTCAGCCCAGTTCGAGTCCGCAGCTAGCCTAACACAATGCAGGAGTTTATCAGTGCTGTACGAAGCCTGACGTTCTCAGTTTCTTTTGGAGAGCAGATGCTGGGTTTCATTAGGGTGTTACTGTAGTTTTCTGCAGCACTGGATACAGTCTGCTCAGGAGCTGCTCTTGAATGTCTCTCATGGTGAGGAGAGCTGTTCAATATCGCGGTGTTACCTGAATCCATGTCTTGCTGCTTCACATCCAACCTTGTCCAGACTCTGTTACAGTGATTCTGGAGCAAAGTGACCACAGCAGCTGCAGGGTACTGAGGTAGATCACTGTGCATTGGGCCTGTAATGAAACAGTCTGTCCCCTAAGTCTTGTCCTCCGTAGAGCTGTCAGACTTATTTTGCTTTAGACAGCAGATTAAAGCCATAGTTTAGACTAGTCTTTGGAATATTCATGAAATGTTTGAACTTTCAATGCTCTTCTCAGTTTTTATTTGATTAAAAAGATATATACAGTATAAGAGTGCTGTTTTCTGTGCTGAATGATAATTTCCTATCTCATTAGAAAGGGTCAGTGCTTTAGCATTGCCCTTAATCGAAGGTGATGCGTGTGACTGCCAGAGAACTTCATTAAATGCTATAAAAAAGTCTTGTGCATGAAGATGTACATCTCATTATTGCAACCCTGGTAGCAGTCTGAATCTTTTCACGGAGAGAGGACTGTCCTAAATCATGCCATGTGTGCAGTGCATCAGCCTATGCCATGAGAGCTAGCAGCTGACTACTTACAGTAACATCCCTTGGTCCACATGCTGTGTTGCTTAAATAAACAGCCATGTCTGCCAAACCACTCACAAGTTCCTATTATCACTATAAACCAGTCTAACCCTCTGTGATGTTCATTCTGTCGCGGTTGCAAGAAAGAAAATGTTTTTTTAAATTGCATAGTTGAGGACGGTTGAGGTTTTATTAAGCTGTTTTCCTTATATATGGTCAGTTAAACAACATATGTGTATTTAATGCTTAGATATTTGTTATGCAGTTGCAAGAAAAAGTCTGTGAATCCTTTGGAATTACCTGGATTTCTGCAGTAATTCCTCATGAAAATGTGGTCTGATCTTCACAATAATAGACAAACACAATCTGCTTAAACTAATAACACAGAAACAGTTGTACTTCTTCTTGTCAGTACTGAGCACGTTGTTTAAACATTCACAGTCTAAGCTGGAAAAAGTCTGTGAACCTCTAGGCTAATGACTTCCCCAAAAGCTAATTGGAGTCAGGCGTTCCAATCAATGAGATGAGATAGGAGGTGTGAGCTGGAGGTGCCCTGCCCTATAAAAAAGACACACAAAGGTTGGTTTCTGACAGCATCTGCTCTTCTCAAGAAAGAGCTGTTCATGTGAACCATGCCCCGAAACAAAACAAATATCTGAGGACCTTAGATGAAGAACTGTAGAGATGCATAAAGCTGGAAAAGGCTACATTTCTGAAGGCCTGGATGTTCATCAATCCACAGTAAGACAAATTGTGTACAAATGGAGGAAATGCAATACTGCTGCTACTCTCCCTAGGAGTGGACGTCCTGCAAAGATCAGGGCAAGAGCGCAGCGTGCACTGCTGAAGGAGGTGGAAAAGAACCCCAGGGTAACGGCAAAGTACCTGCAGAAATCTCTTGAACTTGCCCAAGCCTCTGTTTGTGTGTCCACTATAAGAACAACACTGAACAAGAATGGTGTTGATGGAAGCACACCACGATGGAAATCGCTGCTCTCCAAAAGAAACATTGCTGCACGTCTCAAGTTTGCAAAAGACCACCTGGATGGTCCACAGTGCTTCTGGGACAATGTTAGGTGGACGGATGAGACCCAAGTTGACGGATGGTCAACTTGGCAGAAACGTGCAACGCTATGTTTGGAGGAAAAAAACTGCACACTAACACCAAAACCTCATCCCAACTGTGAAGCAAGGCAGATGGAGCATCATGGTTTGGGGCTGCTTTGCTGCCTCAGGGCCTGGACAGCGTGCTATCATTGAGGGAACGATGAATTCAGAATTGTATCAAAATGTTTTACAGGAGAATGTCAGGGTAGCGGTCCGTCACCTGAAGCTTAATAGAAGTTGGATGATGCAACAAGACAATGACCCGAAACACAGGAGTAAATCAACAACCCAATGGCTTAAACACAATAAAATTAGTGTTCTGGAATGGCCAAGTCAGAGTCCAGACCTCAACCCAACTGAGATGCTGTGGCATGACCTGAAGAGAGCTGTTCACGCAAGGAATCCCAGAAATATCAAAGAACTGAAACAGTTTTATAAGGAGGAATGGTCTAAAATTCCTTCTAACCGTTGTGCGAGTCTCATCAGCAGCTACAGGAAACGTTTGGAGGGGGTTATTACTGTTAAAGGAGGTTCTACCAGTTACTAAATAAAAGGGTTCACATACTTTTTTCCAGCTTGGACTGTGAATGTTTAAACGATGTGTTCAATATTGACAAGAAGAAGTACAATTGTTTCTGTGTTATTAGTATAAGCAGATTGTGTTTGTCTGTTATTGTGACTTAGTTGAAGATCAGACCACATTTTTATGAGTAATTAATGCAGAAATCCAGGTAAGTCCAAAGGGTTCACAAACTTTTTCTTGCAACTGTATGCACAGACCTGCACAAGATATTATCCACACAGCTTGTTGCTGTTCAGTGTTAATTTTGCGAGGGTTTTATAACGGTGTCTTCGCTTCCAAGATAAATAGCCAGTTGGGACTGATTTCTTTTTAAAAGATCAGTGCTGATGTGTGAGATCTGTCTGCAACACTCAGAATGCATTTTGATCACTCTTTGTGTCCAAGCTAAAGTGCAGACAACAGCTTCAGAACTCATGATTAAGTGCAAGAAACAAATCACGCTGTACACTTTGTCTGTGTTTTTTTTTTTCCCTTCCTGTCTTTGTGGTTTAATGGATATGTTTTCCAGGAAGGTAAAAATTCGAATGTTTTGTTCTGTTAATGTTACTATAAGATGGCACTGAATAGCAAACCTTAAATGTACCGTAAGTGTCACTTCCAATTCAGGTGCTGCTCAAAGCTGAAGAAACAAGTGAGGAAAGTAGCCGATCGGATGGCGGGCAGGCGGGGGGGGCGTGGAACACCCTCGCTGTCCTGTGTCTTTCACTCAGGGCCAGGGCTTGGACGCGTCTCCGGCTCAGCTGATGCTAGCTGGCTAGGCAGCTGTTCCACTTATTGTGCTTAATGACGGCTCCATCTGTTTTTTGTCTGCACTCATGCCAACAAATTACTAAACTATTAAACCAACATGGAAACTCCGGTGCGCTCCCACGTTCCTGCTCTTTCTCCTGGTGATTTTCCTGGCTCTTTCCGTTTTTGTGCCGTGAGGTGCAGGTGAGGCCTCACACACGCACTCAGCCCTGTGCCGGTCTGATCCGAATTATGAATCCAGTACAGGAAAACAGAACACGGGCGTTTTTTTTTTTTAATTTTCACTTCACTCAGGAATGATTTCCAGAGGACAGCTGAGAAAGTTTTTGTTTCGCGAATTCACCATGCTCAGGGAGATATTAAGGATCTTTGAAATGTTTTTACACCCTTCTCATGATCTGTGCCTTCATTACACTGTTTCTTTGAGTCGTTTTAAAGTTCCTTGGTCTTCATGGTTGAATATTTGCTTTAAACTCACTACATGAGGAACCTTACAGCGATAGGTGTACTTATTTGGGAATCGTGTGAACTAGTATTGTTGCATTGAGTGGCTCATTTAGGTAATTTTGTACAAATTTAGGCGTGCAATAGCGAAGGATTTGAATACATATGCAAACATGATTTTTCATTTTTTCCTCTCATCGCAATTCTTTTTATATCTTTGCTTTGTTGTTTTTTACTTTATTAGTGAAAAGTGGACAGTGTATTTAACAACTAGTAATTGCTACTTCACAGTGTCACAACTCCAAAGTTTAAGGCAACAAAATGTGAGAACCGGGCAAAGGTGTGAATACTTGTGCCAGGCACAGTATGCACTGTGCAGTGGTATGGAGGTGATCGTTCTGCTGCAGTGCTATTGAGATGAATTCTGGTTCTTCAAGCAAGCAAACGAATAATAAAACAAATGGTGGTGTGACTGCAAAGACTGTTATTTAACATTACACTTAAATTTGATGCCTATTACCCTTTATAATTTCTAACCTTTTAAATATCACACTTTACTTCAGTGTGATCCTGCCTGGTTCTTTACCAGCAGCACTGCTTGTAGAGTAGTACTTCTGAGCTTTGTGTAGCAGAGAATGAAAGCTTTTGGAAATAAAATAAGAAGGCTATACAGGTGTTAAGCCACATGCATCTTTGCATGATTACAGATCAGAGTCGGCTTTAATGGTGTCCTACAAAACTGAACTGACAAGTTACAACAGCCTTTGAAAACTTGAAAACCTTATACTTTTTATTGTTAACAAAGCTTTACGTTTTTTCTTGCCAAATATGCTTGTTGGTCCATGCTGAAATTGAACGTTCTGTTCAGCCTGGCAGCGAATTACTGATTGTGAAGGGCAATGAAAGCCTGAACATTTGAGAGCTGTGCTTTGCACGGGAACCGGCATCAATTCTTCAGAAGAGTTTCGCAGGTATAGGGTGATCTTCACTGTTGCGGGCCCAGGGGTGATCTGGGAACAGTTTATCGCCATGGTGACGGACCGACGGACACTGCACAGTCATGCTCATAAAAACACGCTCACCTGGACCCTGAATCCCACGTCATCGTCACATGATTCGTCGCCGGCAGATTGAGTAGGAGGCGTTTTTATGTGAATGTAATCTCTTTCCATTGTTAACTATGTCCATTGTAGCCTGTCGTGTTTTTTCTTGACCTGTAGTACCTGTAGTATCCCGATCAGCAGTGTGTGTGATTCTTTTCGTTTTGTTAGGGAAAACTGCAGCACTGTTTTTATACTTCGGGGTAAGAAGGAATCAGCATCGATGGATGCGTTTCAAACCGCAAAGAAAGTCAAATGTACACAGTAACTTGTAAAACCTCCAATTTACATCAGAAAGTGCCGACATTTCCCGTTATGAGCAGCACCATATTCTGCCATAGAGAGCCAGGCAGTCAGACGTCTGGTGAGGTGTTGCGGCCACTGTAAGCAGGCTTGTGAATACAACTCTTTGAATCCAGCTGTCAGAGGGCGCTCCTACTCTGTCCTGTCCCTTGTTTCCTGTGCTTTGCTGTCCTTCCGGTGTCTCTCTCTCTCTGGGGCTATATATTTCTGGGTCACTGATTTACCTTCGCTCAGCACTGACATTCGGATGTCCTGAGACCCGCCTAGCATCCAGGCCGCCCCACGTCCTCTGCCTGAGGGCATTGGTTTCTATACGACTCCTGAACTGCTGAGCCCGGGCTTATCCCCCGTTCAGCCGCTACGCATATGGGTCTTTTTCCGCTCTCCTGCCTCTCCACGGTTCGTCCCTTCCGACATCCGTGACACCAACAGAAATATTGCTTTTGACTTCGAGACGGTCTTGCCGCCAAAACTACTTGCTTGTTAACTCTGCATTTAGATCACGTTGGAACACTTCTGTGGTCAAATGTCTGCTGCACAACCTGTACTTATTCTCTCATTCCTCACATTACATCAGTCATTACAGTGACTAGCGAGCAGGAAGGGCTACATCACTTCACGATCGCGGAATCTCCTGCTCTCGCCCGTGGTGAGATCAGGGGTTTGCGACAACATTGCAAACTGTACAGTACTTTCACAAAGTTCACGATTTTGTGCATAATTTGAAATTTGTAAATGATAATGTCAATGAATTTATTTTGTTGCTGAGATTGAATAACTGGTCTGAGACATAGAGACTACGGTTCCCCTTTTAGTATCAGCAAGTGAAGCTGAAATTGGAAACGCTTGAATAGGTAGGTGGAGCAGTCTTGTTTAAAATTGCTGTAATTGGCTAATCCTGCACAAGTGGGAGGAGTGTCGTGTTTGAATGTGTTGTAATTGGCTAAACCTGAACAAGTGGGAGGAGCATTGTTTAAATATACATAGAAAGGACAGGATGTCCAGCCTCCATTGCTAGAAATATTTTGAATTTTTGTGTTGAAGAAAACACAAAAACGAGAGGAGGCTGTTGGGACCCATGTTGCTCGTTTTGTTGCCAGTTGCCTGTGGTGTCAAGAGCCCCATCTATTTCTTTCTTGAAGGACCCCAGTGAATCTGTTTTCAAAAACTCGCTTCGCATTCAGTTCCAGTCAGTTAACATTTTCGCCCCGCTTGTCCTTGTTTGCCTGTTTTTCTCGAAGCAGTCTTCTAATTTAAACAAGGCCGGAGGCCAGAAGCACCGCGTTCTCCTTGTATCCCAGTTCTCGGCAGCGGAGCAAATGGATGACTGAGGCAGGACTGTGAGAAGGTGATCCACTCTGCTGAGTAGGACGCTTTCTAATGTGTTTGGTTACAGTCATCCTTTCCTCGGGAGTCAGGGGATTTAACATAGCTTTGGAATGCGTAGCCATGCTGTGAATTTCCATGTAATTGGTAAGGCTCAGCAGTCCAGTCAAGTGCAGCACTGCTATAAATACTTAGCCCAACGGCAAGTGTGCCGCCCTTGTGAAGACAGCTCTGCGAATAACTACAGGGCGGGGAAAAAATCAACTTTCTCAGCCCTTTTTTCCTGGTCAGTTTTATGTGCTATTTATGGATCTTATGTAAGGACCTCCTAAGACTTCAAGATTATAAGCGCTTTTTTTTTAAGCTCGTACGGTTTGGCAGTTTGAGGAGCATGGGTCTGCACCCAGTGTTTAACGTATCCACCTTTCCACAGCCCGGAGACACCGGGGAGGGTTACAGATGAGATGCTACTGCAGCAACAAATCAAAAAATAGCTCTTAGTTTGAGAGGAGGGTGTGTTAGACTCCAAACAAGTCTTTAACCCACAGATACTGATGGCATCTCCAAGGGAAACAGTTTCCGCTGCATGAAGGCCTCTCTCTTACACTGGTGTGCTGTTTTTTGTTTCACTGTAGTGTAAAAGTCCTCCTGGAACTCTCTCCTCTTCAGATGAGGAACCACCTGAGCCTGAAACAGAACAAACAGGTTCATTCTAAAGTACGATTTGACAGCTCAGCTACTTTCACATCTCAGCCAGGGAAGAATCGGCTTCTGAACCACAAAAAAAAACAAACAATCATTTCATGGAAACACTTCCTCTTTAGAAGAGGGTGGAAATGTGTAAAGTTTTGCATTAACTTTTGGGGACAAATGAAGAAAAATTAACTGAGGGGCGAAATGGAACAGAAAAATTAGGGTGGAAGACGGCACCGTTGTATGTGGTACTTTATTCTTACAGTAGTGTTTGAAATGCACAACAACAGATAATACAGATATTCTGTAACGGTCAGAGCGTAAAACTACGAGATGTCCAAAACAACTTTGGATTACAGTTTTTAATTGGCAGTTGGAAAGTTGCAATTCCCTGTGCATAAAGTGGAAATCTCAATAAATGCTGTTTATGTATTTGCAGCTTTAGGGTTTGTATTCCATTTTTGTGTTTCAAAACGCTTATGTCTTTTCACATATGTAAGATAATCAGATAAGCTCTTAGCATCTAGAGAATGGAGCCGCGAGGAGTTAACCAGCCCTGGTACTGTACACACAGGTGTTGAAGGTGTTGCTGCTCTTCATATCCACTCTGTTAGCTGTCACCTGTTTGACCTGAGAATGATACATTTGGCAGGAACAGCAACGTTTCAAAGGAGTTATTTTTTGAAAACCTAAATTTGAAGGTCGGATTTTGACTTACAGTGTAGGTGCTGTGGAATATCTTTCCACTTATGCCATACACAGAAAGTATTTCCGTTTCTGGAGTCAGTATTTTTGTTCAGATGATTGCATTTCCACTTCTCACTTATGAATAAGTGGAAAACCCTTAGTGACTTAAAGACACTTGATCCCCTTTGCCAGACGTGTACGTTGGGGCATTATAGTCTGATCCTGATTAAAGTGTTCTTAATCACATCACAATAAGTAAAATTCTCCCTTTTACGAGAGGAATTCCTTTTTTCACCATTAGCAGATTGCATGGAATTGAAACTAGTTAAAAAAGGAAGCCATTCAGCCTATCTCGCCCATTTGGTGATTAATCTGAGGATCCCATCCAGCTGTTTTTATCAAGGACGTAAGGGTATCAGCTTCAATTACGTATAGTTGGGTAGCTTGTTCCTGTTTCCCACAACCCTTTGTGCAACAAAGCGTCTCCTGTTCTTGGTTTCAAATGCGATTCTATGTGGTTTCCACTTGTGTCCTTTATATATAAAGTTCACAGGCTTAATTTTATTTTCATTGTTTCACATCAAACTGACGAGACCCTCACTTTTTTTTGTGAAGTTTAGGATTTAGCCACCCTCTTGTGCTTTCTTTATCAGCAGCCCACTGCAGGTCTGGGGGGGGGGTCAGATCAAATTAAATAAGCTTCTGTGCCTGTTTTGATGTGGACAAATAAGTCTCTCTTGCATTCAGAGAGCCGTGAAAACATAGCGCTTGCTGTCGTTTTCTGGATTAAGTTGTTTGAGCACCATTTATCACGATGCAAACAGTGGCAGAACAGTCACGAAGTGCCGAGACGGGGCATCGTGTGAAAACCTTTAAACGACTTTTTGCGTGTGATGCAAAAAAATAAATTAACATTTAGCTTTTGAAATAGTCCCACGGGACTTTTTTTGGTCTGTAAAAATGAGCTGCTGATTCCGGCGTCTTGTTTTCCTTCTTCGTCGTCTAGGTAACTACCCAAGGCCGCCCAGCTACGGGGGCACGCCCAGCGCTAACTACAGCGGCCCGGGCCCCGGCCTGAGCAACAGCCTGGGGATGAACGCCAGCAGCCCGATGCACGGACAGGGCCCGGGCCAGCCCTGCGGCTCCATGCCCATGGGGCGGGCGCCAGGCTCGGGGATGTCCGGGCGCCCTTACTCGGGCGGCATGAGCAACATGGCTCCCAGCTCTCCCAGCATGCCTCAGCCCACGGGCCCCGGGATGGGGCCGCCTCTGCCCAGCGTCAACCGCAAAGCGCAGGAGGCAGCCGCCGCCGTGATGCAGGCCGCCGCCAACTCCGCCCAGAGCAGGTCAGCGCCGCCGCGTGCCTGGAGATGGGAGGGGGGGGTCAGCAGAGTTGCCTGGTTTGCTCAAATTAGTCTTGTGCTTTAAAAAACGAAATACTGGATAGTTGCATCTACTGTTAGCATTATGTACAGAAGTGTGGATAGAAAATGTTGTTTTAGCTCAGTTGTTAGAAGAGTTGTCAGCATTGAGAATATTTATTGGGAATCTCAGAGTATTGAGATTGTGTCTCTCAGTAACAATATTTAGGATAGTCGAGGCAATGGTGACACCAAACTTTTATTGCAATGTGGAGGGTCGACAGAGTTGCCTGGTTTGCTCAAATTAGTCTTGTGCTGCTTTGCTGTAGTTCGTAGTTCTTCTGGAACGACGACACACGATAGGGTGAATCAAAGTTTGGGAAAGTGGGGGAGTGGGTGCCGGGGGTGGAGGTAGGGGTAGGGTTTATCGTCCATGAAGCCATTTGCTTTCTGACACGCTCAGTAATTACTGGGAAGGCCTCTTCGAAGGGCAGCGATGGGAATAAACTTCAGAAGCTCACTCTAATTTGGAGCAGAACCTCCTGTCACGTGTCTGCTTGGATGGGTTTGAAAGGAGAATAGGCAAAAAGCAAATAAAGGCTGCCACCCAGAGCTGACCAGATTGGCGTCGGATCCATTCGTTCCCTGGCCAAGTGGCTGAAAATAAATTTGTGAATGTTCTGGTTTGAGGCTAAGAAGTTGTCGGGAGAATCTGGACTTCCTGGAGACGTATGAGCTGGAGAGTATTTTCTTTTTGTCTCATGTGTGAATGTTTTCATGAGAGAAACAAATGAGGCAGAGCCAGTAAGGACTGTTGGAGTGAAATGGACTGGGGAAACTCTTCTCCACGCATGATGTCCCAGGACAGCTGTGTTATGACCACAAGTTCCCCCAGCTGGGCGATTCTGGGGTATTACTAATAAGGCTGAGTCTATTGGTCTGGTGGGGCCATATGTGTCTTAAAAAAACATAACTTTGTGGTTATGATACAGTGTTTTAATCCCTGTGGTTGATTACTTTATTCAAGTGGCTTCTCCAAACTAAATAAGCAGACACTAGATCATCTCTAAGGTATGCAAACAATTGGGGTTGACAACTGGTTCACTTGATACTGTTTGGGGAGGAGGGTGAGAAACAAGTTCCTTAGCCACCTCTGCTCAAGGGGACTTTGTGGGGTTCTTTAGGAATCGGCTTCTCGGGATTCCTGGGCTCGTTAAGGTGCTGTCAACGAAATGAACGGCCAAGCTGAGGTTCTTCCTGTCTTTCGAAGACCCTGCTCGTCTTCCGGTTTATCAGTGATACCTCCAGGTTCCCGAGCACTCATTCATCCTAGTGGCATTTCTGAATGTCATGGTCAGTTAGCTCCTTCAGGTTGTGGGTTGTCAGTACTGTCCACCAGTGGCTTATGGTTTTGGCTGTGGAAAAGCAGAGTGAGGCAGTTTGAGTGTCAATATCCAGAACTGCCCTGTTGCAATCCCAGCTTAGAAACCACTCAGTGGATCATGTTATAATGACTATTATTTTTTCCTAAATGAACAAAAAAATACTTGAACCCAGCAGAATTAAATAATCCTCATATAGGTAGACCATAGTCAGATCGATTTACTTCCCCAGCAAAACGAATGAAATGTTAAAATACTGTATTTTCTGTGGCTAAAAAAGTACCTCAAATTCAGGCTGCAGCTTGAAAAATATTGCACGTTCAAGAGGTTATGATGGAAGCTGAACTTGTCAAGTTTAAAAAATCCAACTCCAGAATTGTCAGAATGGCCTTTTAAAAAACAAAGGGTGTATTGTCTTTGATTATATGGTAGTCAAATTATTTCAAATGCTGCTGAAATTATATAATATAGTTTAAAAAACTAAATACTGGATAGTTGCATCTACTGTTAGCATTATGTGCAGAAGTGTGGATAGAAAATGTTGTTTCAGCTCAGTTGTTAGAAGAGTTATCAGCATTGAGAATATTTATTGGGAATCTCAGAGTATTGAGATTATGTATCTCAGTAACAATATTTAGGATAGTCAAGGTAATAGTGACACCAAACTTTTATTACATTGTGGAGGTTCTGCAAATTAGTTTGCTTGTGTTATGTTCTTTTTCTGTGATTAAACCAGTTTTAGCCAACCTTGGTTCCTAGATTTCGTGTCTTTACAGGACTTTGAATCTTCCAATACCTACTGTAGAGTGCTGAACTGATCCTCAATTACTCAATTCACAGAGAACTCTTCGATGATGATGATGATTAATATTATATTGATACAACTTTAACCATTTATTTTGTATATGTATCATGTATGTATTGAATAATAATTGATGTGGGATAAAAATCTACTGTACTAATGCTTTTATCAGCATTCATTAGTAATATTTCTTTTGTTTCCAGCTGGAGCTGTTTAAAAATCGATTTTTTCTTTCAGTTCTGGCAATATTGCATTCTGTTTACATTTAGCTGTCACTGTGATGTGGCATACAAGGCACAAATGTTTCAATTAATTGAGTTAACCCCTAGCTAATTTCTAGATTTATTCTGTAAGGTCAGGAGAAAAGCATTTACAGCAATTGGATAAAAGCTTGTTGATTCAGATCTAAATTTTTATAATGACATCTATGGCATTAAATCCAGTAGGCCTGATCTATTGTAAGGCATAAGCAGTACTGGACCTATGTATGTAGACATGTATCGCACGCACACTGGCACACAGTGCTGTAAATGAGAGGTCTGTGTTTTCGATTCTGTGGTTTGCATGTGAACGAATTCTAGTAAAGCATCAACAGCGCTGTCATTTACCTTGTCCGGTTTGTATAATGAGATTAACGACCATCACACTGCAGCTGATGACTGCTGGAGTTCCAGTACACAAGCAGCTATTAGGAAACAGGATGTTTGTGCTGCAGTAAATGGATAATCACAAGTACAAAGGGTGGCAGTCTTTCACTGGAAGTGTAGACTAATAACCTCTTGGTGAACTGCGGTAAAACAGTTAGTGTGGTAAAAGAACAGGTTGAAAAAAAGTATTTCTTCAAAGAGCCCTTGCTTGTTCCAGTAAGTTAGCAGAAGTGCCAGTGAGCTGTTGACGTTGCGCCCTGGGCTGCTCAGGCCCGGGGATTCTGGGAAACGCTGGCACAGACGAGCCTGCACGTTCCTGCTGAATCTGCAGAAGAACTTTTAAATAGATGTGTGTATCGTGAATAATCCCGAATGCTGTGCTTAGTGCTTGTGAATGTTCTGAATTCAGTTAAAAATGCGAGGACGTGAACTACTTTTTTTGTCACTGCCGAGTGAGAAAGGAGCCTTGAGGAAACAAGTGTAACTTCAGAAGGGTTTAACGGGAGGTGAGGTCACCCAGGTGGTGTTTGATTGAAATCTCAGGCACAGGCCAGGTTGCGCAGACATAATGCAGCAACAGATGTGGAATCATTTCTCATTTCTAAACCTGTGATGTTTGAGAATCGCAAAATTTACACTGAGGTTAAAAAAAGAAGGAAAAAAAAACATTTCATGCAGCCTTTGCATGGTTAAACAGATTTTAAAAATGGCTAACTGTGCACAAAATAACCTCCTAACTGCAAGGAGGGCACTTCTGAAGACAATCCCGACCCTTGCGAATTGTAAGTCTCCAAGATGTACAGGACTGGCTGACAATCTCTGCCAAAAAGTCGTAGATGGGCCGTTTATTTTATTTTTTTTTTGCTCATCTTTTCTTATTCTAGTCACTACACTTAGCTAGGAGGTCACAGTTGTTTTTCTGTCTTTGGGAATCGTTTTCCTCTCGACCCACCTGAGGTCGGAGGAAAGCGAAGAGGTTGTGCTTTTGTCCCGAAAATGGCCGCACACTCCGGGCGGCCTGCGTGCCCCGGCCAGGCCGGGACCGGAGGGTCCCAGCCCCTGTTCCCACCTCGGCACCGCACTCCTGGGGCTCCTCGGCTGTCACGCCGCCACAGCCCGAGCCGTGCCGGTGGGTAGTGGCACAGAGCCACACTTCCTGGAAGAGCCTTGGGGCCATTTTGGCAGTATGACATAAGGCCCTCTTGAGCGAAATAAAAAAAGACATTAATGTAACAGAAATGACAGAATAGGCGCTGCTTCGAAGACTGACTTCGGACCCGGGGCAAACACCTGCATGCCTCATCACAGCCGCGCGGCTTTTGGTTCAGCGGTGTGCCGTGGGTCCTGTGTTTCATTTTTTTAACGCGTTTCCTTTGGAGCGAGCCGACAAACCCCTGCCAGCCCTTCCCCTCGCTCTCACCTGAGATATTCCTGCTAGTAATGGGGAAGGCTTGGCCGCGCTGGAGTGGACAGTGCGGGTGGAGGATGTGCTCGTCTGCCTCCCATCTGCTTGCCATCCCTCGCGGTGGCGGCCAGCAGCCAAACCACCCTGCCGCTCCCCACCGGCAGCCCACTGGGGCTCAGCAGGTGGGAGCCTGGTCAGTACCTGGACGGGAGACCTCCTGGGAAAAACTAAGGCTGCTGCTGGAAGAGGTGTTAGTGGGGCCAGCAGGGGGCGCTCACCCTGCGGTCTGTGCGGGTCCTGATGCCCCAGTATAGTGACGGGGACACTATACTGTAAACAGGCGGATGAGACGTAAAACCGAGGTCCTGACTCTCGGTTCAATTAAACTGTTAACTGTTCAATTAAAATCACAGGCTGTTTCTCGAAAAGAGTAGGGGTGTTACCCCAGCGTCCTGGCCAGATTGCCCCCTGGCCTTTACCAGTCATGGCCTTCTAATAATCCCCATCTCTGAACTGGCTTCATCACTCTGTTCTCCTCCCCACTGAGAGCTGGTGTGGGGTGAGTGTACTGGTGCACTATAGCATCCAGGTGGGGCTGCACACTGGTGGTGGTGGTGGAGGGGATCCCCATTACCTGTAAAGCTCTTTGAGTGGAGTGTCCAGAAAAGCACTATATAAGTGTAAGGAATTATTATTTTAGTATTTAGAGAATTGCTTCACAATGTATTCGCTTGGTTTATTTTGCAGAC